TTTAGCCATGAATATCTTTTTTCTATTTTTTTATCCATGCTAATTGAAAAAGAGTTGACTTATTGCTTATTTTTATTTCATTTGTATTAATCATAATTTTAATTTAATAATACTAATCCAAACAAATTTCTAGAAAAGAAATACTAATACTAAGAAGAGCATAAAATTACATTGATAATAGATTACCATTGATTCTATGTTTAGACTTTAAATCTTTTTTTTTTCCGTCTCACTATAAAAAACATATATAGTTTGCATTGTCCAATTAATTTTATGAGTTCAAAAAGATGCTTTCAATTGATCATTCAAAGACTCGAAAACAAATAAATATCGTTATAAATATAATAAAAGTTTTTGCAACAAATTTTTCATTGTTGTATAAAATATTATAAAAAGGAGACGACATTGAAAATTCATTATAAATAAAATAAGTTTTTGCAACAATAAGTTTTTATGTTACAAATATAATAAAAGTTTTTGTAATAACAATTTTTATCATTATATAAAATATTAAGAAATAACTTAAGTAAAGACATTAAAAAATGGTTTCAAAATTAAACAAGTTTTATGCAACAACTTTGTTTTTGTTGTTACAATATAAAATTTTTTGTAACAACTTTGTTTGTCGTTGTATAAAATAATAAAACATAGTTAAAGCAACGACTTTAAAAAATCATTTCAAATAAAAAAAGTATTCGCAACAATTTTTTGTTATCATTAAAATATAATAAAATTTTTCGTAATAAATTTTTTGTTGTTGCATAAAAGATTTAAAAGTAACTTAACCAATGACTTCGAAAAATCGTTGCAAATAAAATAAGGTTTCGCAACAACTTTTTGTTGTTGCTACGAATAGTAGATAAATTCACAATGATAAATTTTATCATTGTATAAAATATTTAAAAATTCAATTTAGCAACAATTATAAAATGTCATTGTAAATACACAAATATATCACAACGATTTTTCGTGTTGTTGCAAAATATGGTTCCTAAAAATCACTTTTCTTGTAGTGTTTGATTCATAAATAAATTATTATATTACAAGATTTCAAACAATCCAAGTCTAATTTTTATTTTTTTCATATGACAACCTATACACCCAAATAAAAACCTTATTTTAGCAAATAATAACATTAGCACAAAACTTTCAAAAGAAATAGAAAAATAAAAAACCAAAAAAAAATCCTTAAAATGCATTAAACTAAAACCAAACAAAGCAAAAAAAAAAAAAAAAAAAAAATTCACTCAAAAAAAAAAAAGAACAAACCACCTAAAAGCAACAACGAGGCTCAAGGGTAGAAAGGTCATGAACCATCTACAAAATGAAAGGTCAACGAGTACCTATCTTGACTTTACACACATTGAAACAAAATCCAAGTAAAGCTTCAAGGAGAGAGCTTTTTCCATCGGATTAACCATCGAGGGCAACGATTTTTGTAATTAAATGCTTTTTTTTTTAAAGCCACCATGGCAGCTTAAAGGCATTGTCGGCTTTAAAATAAGACAAAGAAGAGGCAGAAGAATCATGATAATAGCGGTGAGAATGGGTTAAAGAAGAAAAAGGCATGGGAAATGAAAGAAAATTGAGCACAGAGAATTTTGGGGAAAAAAGGCGTGGTTTCAATTTTGGAGGAAAATCAATGGCGTTTATTTAAAAAAAATGCCACTATTTTTTTAATAGCGGTGTTTATTAACTAAAACATCACTAAAATTTTTAAATTTTGCATTTTTAGTCTAGATCCAAAATAAAATGGCATTTCTTATAAAAACACCACAAAAAAATTATATTTATATTTAATTAATTCTTGTATTTTATTTTGCGACATTTTAGTGGCTAAACGCTGCTAATTTCTATCTTTAATGGCGTTTGTCAGTACAAATGCTGCTATTTAAATATTTAGTGACATTTTGATAAAAAATGTTGCGACCTTTAAAAAACACGAAAGTTAGCAGTGTTTTAAAGTGAAACGCTGCTAAAAAACTGCAACTAATTTTTCATTTTCTTTTAGTGCTTCAAAAGAATTTTTCTCATCAAGAATTCCTTTTTTAACCAAACTTGTGAGCTGCCAAGGGAGAGTTCAAATTCAGCCAAACACTATTGGATTCTTTAGTCCATAAATACTTGTTTTAGATCTTAGGAAGGTGTGTAAGTGGTTGGAATGACAGACTAACCATAGCTTTCTTTAGCATGCTTTAAATTTCTTGTTCTTCATTTTGTTTAAAGTTTTGTTTGTTCTTTCAATTTTCTGTTCTTTTCAATTTCAGTTTATGCAACTTTCTTTAAAGTTTTCAATTCAATAAAGTTTTATTTGAGAAATTTTACATTCAGTTTCTAGTGGATTTAATTTCTAATTTGTTATCTTGGTTAAAACAATTTCGGTTTGTGGTTCTTGATTTACAATTGATTTCGATTTTGATTATTGCTTAATGCAAGTTGCATTCTTCCATAATTCTGGCTTCATTATTGCGATTTACATTCTATTTTCATCTCATTCTTTTAATTGCAAGTTTCATTTATATTAAAGCACTCGGTTAATGTTTTAAAGTTTAATATTGGTTCATGTTTGCATGGTTTGCATGATTAGGTTTAAAATTGTTTTAGTTGCATATTCTATTGCATGATTAATTTAGGTTTGCATGCTTTCCTAATTATATCGATTTCAGGTCATAGTATAGGTTGATTTCGATTTATCTTTGAGTTTACTATATGTTACTTGATTCAGTTAATAGTTGGTTATTGATTAGTTCTTGCATGAATTGCATGTGATTAGGGTTAATAGCATTTGGTTTGCATAATTTGGTTCAATCTTGGTTTGATTTGATTTGTTTAGGTCTAATTGCATGTTCCTAGGTTAATTTAAGTTTAATAATAGCTTGTTTGCATGTCTTAAAAGTTAATTAGGGGTAGTTAAAGTTCAATCCTTTGCGGTTAATTGGCTTTAATTTGGTTTGGTAAGTTTAAATTCATTAGTCTTGCATGTGATTTATACTTTCTTTGCATGTGATTGTGTTTATTTAGCTTAGATCATATTTGATTTATGCATAATTAGTCTATATTGCTTTCAATTCTTGTTATTTTGATTAGGTTTGCACGTTCAAGCATACTTGCATGTTTAATTGAATTAGGTTATTTGCGTGTTAATTTCATATTAATTGCTTTCAGGTAGTTTAGATTCGGTTTAATTTTATTTACATTGTTTGTTTCTTTTAGTTCTTTTTGGTTTACATTAGTTTAGGTTTGCTTAGTTTATATTTTGGTTTTGCATATCTTATTCGAATTATCCAAATATAAGGTAGGGTTATATAATTTTGGTATCTGTTACTCTCAATATAATAATCTCCATGGGAATGAGCTTTTCTTTATTATTTGTATGATATGTACGTTTGCAAATTCTCAATCAGTTGGACTTTGCTTTGGAGAGTTTCCAAAATAAGAAGATTTGTCCCAAAGACTCGTGAAAAGTTTAAGTAACATTTTGAATCAAGTTTTGAGCTTAGTTTGAGGTGGTTTCTCTTTCTTTTTGAATGTTTCCAGGGCCTTTGCAGTTCATGAGACGATGCTATTTCAGTTGTACTAAGTTGCAAATGGTTTTGTTTCCTCTGTCCCCCCCCCCCCCCCTTCTTAATAAAATTTACTATTGACTTGGCAAAAAGATCCATCGTTTTATTCTTAATTTTTTGTTCAATTCAACTGTTTAATTTACTCTAGAGATGAGTTAGCTATAAAATGTTTATGAAATAGCCGGGACCATGAGATGAGTTAAAGCAATTGTAGCTGCCTTAGCGAAACATAGCTGATACGTAAAAGCGCCAAGATAAGATAAGGTATGGATCTTAAATCATTTGGATTATAAATTTAATTTGGTTTGTTTAAATTATGGTTATTGAAATTTTCTAATAAATAAATTAAAATACGAATTTAATTGAACTGATTCCCATATTTACTCTTAAAAGGTAATATTTAATAAGTCAAAAGTTTGAATCTCAATAATTTAAAATTTATCCTATTAATTTTAGATTGTGACCTCTTATATATTAAACAATAAATCAATTAATAGCATGACCTAAAAAAAAACCTGTATAAAGGAAAAAATTTAAGTGTTTGTAAAAGACAGGCGTTTCTTAAAGGAAAAAAAAAAAAAAAGAAAAGAAAAGAAAGGCTTTCTCATCACTACCGTATACCTACGTACAGTAATTTGTTATTATTAGCAATTTTTTGTTTTATGTTTATTTTTTCACAAATTTTTGTTTTGTTTTATTTTTAATTTATTAAAACTGAAAACATGTTTGGTTATAATTATATTTTTGTTTCAATACTTTCAAAACAATAGGACAGGAGTAAAAGTTGTTGGAACTCAATTAAGAGAGTAATAAGGATTTTGTTTTTTGTGCTTACAATTTTCTTTCAATTTTTTCATTTTTATGTGTAGATTTATATACTCTGTTTATGTAGCCAACAGCCCAGAAAAAGCAAAATTTTGTTAAGAGCATCGATACAGCCTGACGTAAGATAATTCCTGAAATACCATGAATTCGGTTCATTTTGAGATTGCGTGTTGCGTCGTGCTATTTCTACGTCATTAAAATTTGTTTGCCGTGCCTAGTTTATGTGCGGCGTGTTGGTGTCACGCCTAGTGCTTTTAAAAGGTAAGCAAAATACATTAATCCTAAGTCAGATAAAAAAAAAGAAAGGTACTGCACAAATAAATGTTGGTTACCGTATTAAGTTTTTTTTTTTTTTAAAGTAACGATGATATTATAAGTGATATCAAATCAATCCTTGATTATTTTGATTTTACATTAAATATTTCAATAAAGATCAACCAAATAATTTAATAAATAAGATGACAACCATGAAAACGAGATTGGATAGAAAAAAAAAATCACACCTAATATCGTTAAAAAATAAATAAGATGCATTGCATATTCTAACAAACTGATTTTGTGTAAAAAAAGTAACGACTGCATGTCAATGACACTATCTTTTTATCTTTTAATGGCTTGTGCCACGTTGATCAATGAATTTAAAATCTTTTAACCCAACACTATATATATATATATATATATATATATATTATGTTTGACTTAAGTCGATTACTTAAAAACGAATCGTACCAAAAAAAATCTATATCATAGCGAATCGGATCATGAACTGCCGACCATTTGACACCTCAACGTGAAACTTGTATCTCACCCCACCCCTAAAGAAAAAAAAAAAGAAAAACCATAATATGATCAAATGAGACAGAAAACAACGTAAACAGGCAACTTTGATGCATCACCTTCCCAAACTAAAGCATCCATTACACCGAAAAGCAACCGATTTCCCAACCGTTACTTTACGTTAGTTCCATATTCCAAAAACCAACATTTAATTATTTTATCCTCTGATTTTATAATCTCTTCAGACTTTTCTTTCTAGCATCCATTTTCTTCTTGCCTGCCAGAAGGGCCGGAACTTTTGTCAAACCTTCCTTCTTAAGAGCAGTGCCTGCTATTCCTACGAGGGCAGTTCCACTCACTCCTGTTTCAGTTGTTGGAACTGAAGACTGCGGCTCCTGGTTGTGGCCTCCTTTTGTCGCTGTGGTGGGCAGGGCCAGAGGAGATGGCAATGATAATGCTGCTCCACTTGCTGCATTTTTTTGGTCAACATTGAGAACCGAGGTCTTAGACTGGTCAACATTCAATGCTGTAGTTGACTCACAAATAGCTCCTGACTTGAACTTAGGTTTTGTCTTCGCATGAATTCCTGTATAAAGCCTGTGTTAAGAACAGAAAACACATTTGTGAGACCTTCATGGTTGTGCGCAATTCCAATTTGATTTCTTTAGAGTGTAGCAGTCATACTATCTTTGGACCTTGCTATTTCAATTGCAACAGATCAGTTTACAAAACAATAACTTCTCTACATAGTATCAAATCTATAAGGCATGACGGACTACAACACTTGAAATCTTGAAAGTCAAATGACCAAAATGATAATACTGAAGGCAAAACCATAATGAACTTATGAGCAACTAAGACACCAATAGGGCAGTTGGAATTGGCCTAGAATTGACGTTTTTATCCCCTTCCATCTTAAGGAATTTGACAAACCATGAGACAGTGGAAATGTGCATAGTTTCTAACCAAAAACAGAAAACAACAGTGTTTGTCCTGTTTCAGACACGCTCAATGTAAGGTTCTAGGTTTCCACATCAAAAAATATTAGTAAATAATGTTGTTTGGCAAGCCTCACCTGGCATGCCTGGCGTACTCATCATAATTTTCAAGCAGCATTTTGCCTGCCTGTTCATTTAAAGCTGATTCTGGAAATGGCTCAATCAATAAGCACCTAACTACCTGCAGTCACAAAGTCCAGTGTTAAGGAAGATAAAAAACATGAAACCAAAGATCTATAGCTGAACTACCAAAAGAAAATGGGCAGTACAGAGGCAGTTCTTATCAAACAAACTGATAAATATTGGATATAGAATGGTCTGGGTCCAATGGAACTTACAATGAGTACATGTCGTAATCCTAGACTTGGATTCCAATCCTTTTTAAGTGTGTTCACACAAATTTCACCATTGGTTGCAATATTTGGATGAAAAATCTTTGTCAGAAAGTAGCCTGCAGTATAGATGTTAAGATTTCAGAATATTCACTAATGCACAAAATAATATATATTTTTTGGCATTATAGTATAACCATAAAATTTGGAGATTCAAATACAGGATGAGTGGCTTAAAATGCAAAACAAAATTGCACGCCATGACCGTAAAAATATTATTAGTTAATTGTCCGTTTTCTTGTAATGTATACTTGAGAAGCCTGATATGATCCAGGTTCTACATTTTCTTAGATCATAGCACCATTGAAATCTAATTATGTCTGGATTATTGTAACCTATTAAACATACCTTTTGGAGGAGATTGAGGAAAATCATGAGACAGTAACAACTTCATACGGAAAACACCATTTTCATAAGGAGTCCCAGCTGCAAAGTAAAAATATCCTCAGTACGGAAAAGAAACAAGTGTGCCACAAAGTAAATTTGTTTGGAAAGAATTGCGTGCCTGGCCCTTCAATGTCAGCATAAATGATTGAAAAATCATCATCATTTACTCCGACTTTAATGCCTTCCGGTGGGGATTCATCAAGACTCTTCAATTCCTTTGCCAGTTGCTTTATTACGTTTGGTGGAAAATTTTCATTAGTTGCCTAACACAACACAATAGAACAATATAAGAAACGTGATTCCTTACAGGTCAAATAAAGACCTCACATGACAAATTATTGGAAATTCCGTACCATATATATAATGGACCTTTCTTTTTCTTTCTTTAACACCATAAACAGCTTAAAGCACTATTATTCTGGAACTATATACCTAAAACTTTCTTCACTAACTAGGATAAATGGGGACAAGTAACTAACAATTGAACAAAAAATTTGTTAATTTCCACAACAATTAGCAGATATAGACGTTGTTATGTAAACGGAATAAAATTACCATCCTAAGGGAAGAAAAAGAATCCTTGAGAAAAGACTCAGAACCTCAGCAAGACACGTCCCAAAAGATCAGCACCTTTGGCACTTATTTACAGTGAAAATTCAGCACTGCCAAAAAAGACACAAAAAACCAAAAAAATGAACAGAATTAACACTTTATATTTAAAATGAAACCCAAAAAAAAAAAGAGTGGTTTTTTCAAAAGTAGCAGGCATAAGTAGCAGAGAGGATAAAGAGTCAACCCTGTGAATTTTCACTTTATAAATCAAAAGTATAAATGTCGAAGATGCACCCACAAACATATATGCATATAAATAAGATACAGATGATTGAACCCAATAATTCATATGAGACTAATGACTCATGGAACACATTGCAATCAATGCGGACTATAAGTTTCTAAAAACTACATATTAATCTCTTATGTCTTATCTATGTAATCTAATTTCATTAATTAGTTTTTATATTTCCATCTGTTTATTATAGGAGAAACTCGAAGCTATCTAAAGCCACAATAGTTTGAGCAAGACAATATTATTCACAAATTACACCTCTACCAAGTGGCTTTACACCATGTTTGGTATAACTTTTTTTTGGCAATGAAGTTGTGTTTCAATTAAGCTGGTTAAAGTTTAATTTGGAAATGCAGTTTATAGATCGCAAATGTTGTAAAGTAACATGTGGAAGTCGAGCTTCGACAAAAACCTCATAGAACAATAACAGCACACACATATCTATGCGAAACATGCATTTACATTGAAGAGCAACTCAAAACTATGAGCATCGGCCAAAAGAGAGAAACTAATTTCGGCCAAAAGAGAAACTAATTTCAACCCAAGCGGTGCATTTGCAAAACAAACCTAATCTAGTCTTATCAAAACTCAATAAGCAAAGTACTGCTCCCGATATTGAAATAAAAATATAAACCAGCAAAAGGAAACCCATACAAATTCAACGAAGAAAAGCATCTCACATTCCCATTTCACCAAGAAAGCATAGTCATTTAAGAAGAAAAGGAATCGATTATTATTGTTATTTTTTTAAACAAAAAATTTACATAAAGGAATATTCATTAAACCATGAAAAAAAAAAAAAGGAAAAAGAATCTCAGATCACGCAAGATTATGAGAGTCGACCCAGATTTTCTGATGGCAAGAAACACAAACCCACACTAGATGAGATGTGAAATTACCTTAGGCTTTTCTTTCAAACGATGTTGCACACAGACTGAGAAAGCGATCTCTCTTTCCCCTTGGAATAATTGATTGGTTGATTTTGAGGAGAGTTTTTATTTTTATTTTATTGATTGATTTATATATTTATTTATTTATTATTTCAAAAAGAAACACGCATAGTAACGTTTTATTAACCATGACCAGATGCACAACATGAGTATCTATGGGCTTCGAGTAAATGACTTCGATTCACGCGCCCCGTCAGGAGTCAGGATCAAGCCAAGCCCTTTCCACACTCTGCATGTGACCTTCACATTTTCAAATGCGCGTGGTATAAAATCCTCTCAGACAGTAACTGGACCTGTCTGATTTTCTGATATTTCTTTCAACGATTGAAAGCCTCTAATGTGTTTTTGGCTTTTAGGTGAATTAAAGAAAAAAATTAAAAATTAAAAATTAAAGCAAAGAAGAAGGGCAACGTTTGAAATTATAGAAGGAAGCAAGGGTACGTAGGGAAGGGATCTTTCTCTTGAGGAGAGAGCGGGCCCTTTTTAGTTTTTTTTTTTTTTTTTCTTTTTCTTTTTAAATGGAAGTGTTATGTAAGCAATCACCGGCTAACCGTGTCGGGACGTCGGACAAAAAGTCTACAGCTTTTTGCTCAAATTTTGCATTTTATTATAAAATAATTGATAATTAATTTGATTTGGTCCACGCCTACTTAGTGACCGTTGGAGGGTCCTTCTACTCGACTAGCCGTTAGCGGTTTCTTGATGCTTCTTTTTTTTCGTTTTATTATTTTTAACTTTTTTGTGCTTAAAAATTATTATTTTTCTTTCTTTTAACACTTAATGCAACTTTTTTTTATTACAAATGAGGGGACGTTATATTTAATATCAATTACCGTAAAATCAAGTCTTTTAAAAAAAATTATGAAAGTCAATGAGAGACAAATAATCATCAAAATTCGAAAATGAAAATGAGTATCTTTTTCATTACATTATCGAATTATTTTCATAGTGTCAACAATGTTGGAATATATACATGGAGTTGGATTGACTCAAATTTACTATAAATCTAGATAGAGACTATTAAATTTTTTTAATATGACAATAGAATTGAAATATGTATTATATAAATAGACATGTATACCTATGAAAAATAATAATAGGTAATCTCAATCACATTGGATGAAAAGGTTTTCTTTTAAATTCTCTCTTGTTTGTCAACAAAAGAAAAATTTTTTGTTTAATTTTTGGATATTCACTAAAAATTTAGGACTTGAATTATTTTTTGAAATTTATAGAAATTACGAAAGTTTTTTTTTCTTTTTGTGATTTTTCTTATGAAAAATCATATAATTCTATTGTTTAAAATTCACTCACACTTTGAAACATGTGTATGAATAATTTTAGTGAATGGAATGTAGTTTCAGCTTTCTATGAATGTGGAGTACTCTATGGTGCTATATGCTTAATTAATTTATTTATTAAAATTAATTAGTTGAGCTTATAATTTTTTTGGCCTAATTATTGGTAACTTTGGCATGAATATCTAGAATATATTTTCATCCATGTCATTTATGTATTTTACATCACAAGCCATGATTATTTTATTTAATAGTGAAATTACTGTTTCTAACTTAAATGAAGCACATATACATTACCTAGGCTACTATGGATCTAATCTTCATTCTCTTAGAAAATGAATGTGGCAATTTCCATTAAATAATGACTAAATTTGAGTGATGTATGTGATTGAATGCATATATGTTTTGGTATTTTGTGATATTCATGGGTGCATTGTTTGTTTATTTTGACACAATAATGGCGTGACCTTCTTATTTACTTTGTTATTTTATTAAAAGTGATGTATTAGGATTATTAGGGTAAAAGGATTGTAATTCTTTATGTATTAAATTGAAAGTCTTGTAAAGGAATGTGTTTAAGCACCACTTGTTGTAGACATAAAATTATCTTGGCATGATGCACCAAAATACCAATGAGTCAATTTGGACTTACCTTATATATGTATGTATTATGTATGTGATGGAAACACATGATATAATGTGGATAAAGGGAAGGAGTGGATACCTCTATAAAATAGAGTGACATGAATTTTGTTTTATTATTGGTAAAATAATTTATTTTTTCTTCTTAATTTGCTCAAATTGTTCATGTATAAGAAATTTTGAATAAAAGATGAAAAGTTAAAAATTTGAAGCTATTTGACTGATTTTTGAGAAAAATATGTGAGATTTGTCCAAGAAAGCTGGCTGAACCGGTTGAGGAATGTTGTGAAGCTGTCCAGAATTTATGTAAGCTATTTTGGAGTTGAATTAAGAAGAAAACTGGCAGAAAAATTGCAGGCAGAATTCGGCAGTACTGCAGTTGAAGAATGTTTTGATCTTTCATGCAATTTAATGACATGCAACCTATGCAAAAATTTAAAGACAATCAAGGCAGTGTTTGGTTTACAGTAGACAAAATTTTTAAAACCAGTATTTTTGGTGCGAGAGCATGGTATTCTTTGTAGGTACACATCCAGTGGATAAATTTTAATTGGATAGAGGAACTGACAGGATACTGACTTGGCAAGCTGACATGGCGAGAGGGATTTTAAAATTTTACTTGAATTAAAACAGCCTAAACCGACTTTGTTATCCCCTTTTCTGCCTTGAACTAACGTGAATTTAAGGCTGAATGGAATTTTAATATTTTGCATGAAGAATTCAAAAGTGAATTTGATTTTTGATGAAGGAAGTCACGGTTTAGGCAAAAAATTACATGAAATTTTCAAGGGCTAAAAGAATTCCTGGTTCGGGTGTAATAGAGTTCAAAACATAATTATATTCTGTTTATCAAAGGCAGAACCGAGACTTTCTTTGCACAAACAAGTTCAAAAACTAAGAGAAGAAGTCAAATTCCATTGAAGAATGTTGATGGTGTTTTTGAATATTTTAGCTAGAAGGGAGGAGTTGAGATGGAGGAAAGGACAGTTATGACCTGCAGTCAAAGAAAGCAGTTAGGGGTACCAGAGTTATTACTCCGAGACATGCTTCGACACTCAAGTCAGTAAGATACTTGAGATTTGATAAGGAAGCAAAGAAGATGAAGATGGTGAGGCATGAGTGTTAAGCTTTGATAGAGAGAAAACCCATAATGTTTTAGGATTAGGTGTTCTTACTTGTTTCTTCGTACTTGGTCTTCCAATAACCTTATATCTGAGATCGAGTGGCGTTGACTTGACTAAGACAGTTGACGGTTAATAAGATGTTTGCGTAGAGCTTAAGAAGGGTCCACGTGGGTGACTACTAGTTGCATTTAATGATCCTAGGTAGGCATGGGTTGCATTTAATGATCCTAACCGAGTTGAATGCTGGGTGGTCAGTTTTAAAGTAGCTACCTTGATTAGATGTCTATGGGACCCTGGGTGAGTCTTTCCTTTAGTAATGGGTGAACCTTTTTCTTGGGGGCAAATGATGTGGCTATTTGGGCGACTTAAAAGCATAGCTACATTGACCTAGCTTTGATCATTAACTAGTTAACTTAGGTGTAACAATTGGCTTCTAGGTTTGAGGGGTTATAAAGTGTTTGTCCTCAAACCGTATTCCAAAGCCTAAAAAGAAAAGAAGAGGCAATAAAAGGAAAGATACTTTGGCGAAGGTCTTTATAGCTTGGTGAATTTGGCATATGACATGTCCTTTTGAGACAAGGTGAGCGTCTTTGACAAACAAATGTGCTAAAGTGTTCCCTATGGGTGAGACAAGTGCTTTGGGTAAACTTGGCTATTGATGTGTCATGCTAAGATGCAGTGATTTTTTTTAGGCAAGCTTAGAAGTTGGTAGAACCATAGGGAGCAGCAAGTGAGGACTTAGAAAAAATTTTGCAAAAACTTTATACTATCTATGGAGCACACATGATAAGAATGTGTGTAGTGGGATGGTGTGGTGCACGTGCATGTACTACTGAGAAAAGCAACTAGACAAATTATATGTTATGATTTTAATGAAGAGCTGTCAAATACATTTAATGGGTGCAATTTTCCAAAGTGCACCACTTTTAAGAGCATTTGATGAATGCATTTTTCAAAATGCACCAATTTTAAGGGGGTAGGTGAAAAGATTTTAAAAGGGAATTAATTTTTGCACTAATTTTGAAAGAGTGGTTGGGGAGGTATCAATGGGATTAAATCTTTACACCATTCAAGATCTAGTTGAAATGATCTAAGGATGTATCTTTTCACTTTCACCCCTTGGTTGGGTATAAATAGGAGATGTGGGGTTCCCTAGTTTTTCAATTTTTCTTACTTCCTCTAGAAAAGGCTTGCTGTTTTGATGTTCTGTGTTGTTTGGGTGTGAATTTGTGAAAAAGAGACAAATGGCCCTAAAAAGAAATGTTGTCATTGAAAGTTCCACTAAAAAAAGTGAAGGAAACATCGAGGGATATCGAGAGAGTAATTTGTAAGTTTTTTCATAGTTTTTGGGGTTTTAGGAGTTTGTGTCATTTTGTAGGATTTTTATGGTTTTGAGCTTCTTGATGATGACATGTTTCTTTGAGCTGATTAGGCATCTTGAAATTTTAATGAAGGAAGCAAACCAAGAAGTTGGTTTCCATCCCTAAATATGATTATTACCTATTCGTTAAGCTCCTTAATGAGGCTTCAACAAGTAGGAAAAAAAAGAAAAAATCAACATTGGCCCATCCCTGACTTCGTCTCTGAATATAGAGGAATGGGAAAGGTGTTAGAAGAAATTTTGATTATCCTAATTTCATAGATTTTCTTCCTACTTTGCATGCTTATGAATAAAAAGGTAGAGTCCAAAAATGTTTGGTAAGATAAGACTTTCTTTTGAGGACTCTCATCTATTGAGTTTCAATCTAGCTCGTGATGTTTCCATGTAGAAATCTTAGTTTCAAGGGATTAATAAGAAAATTTGGAGAAATTACAAGTCAGAGAAGCATGATGTCAGGGATGTTGAACTCTAATTTTTATTAAAGATCCAACTTTTACAGTAGTTACATGTCCATCATATTTCACTTATGAGATTTCTATAGGAAAGAATTGGTAAGGCAAATATCATTGTACCATTACTGTTACTATTGTTGGTATTTAACCTTTAAGCCAAATCATATTTTTGCCAAGACATTGTCATATTTATAGTATTTTGATATTTGATATCTTATAAAAAGTCTTATTTATTTATCATGAGCTTGTTTACATATATTTTTAATGTCGATGCTTACATAACAAAATCCTTGAAATATAAATAAAATTTTGTAAGAGAATTACAATGAAATAGTAATTGTTATATCGTCATTGCATAAAAGCTATATGTTCCAAAATTAGTTCCTAGTCGATGCTTTGTCAATAAAAGGATATTGACAAAAGCTATTAGCACTAGCACATGATTATATATTT